GCACATGTCCGTGCGTGCGCCCTCGTGTGTGTATGTGCGCGCGCGCGCTAGTGTGGGTGTATGATCCACTTAATATTTGTATTTATAACTCATTACAATTGTGACCAGGTGTGGACGTATCAGTGGTTCATTACTTTGTAATTTGCTCATGACTGTAACCATGTATAGGAGTGAAGCTGATTCATTACCTCTGTAACTTGCCATGATTGTGACCAGATCTACCTGGAGTTCATTACCTTTGTAACTAGTTCAGCTATCATAACTTTGGGGTCCAGTCACTGGACCCATTATGTACCTTTGTAATCTTTTGACTACCGCCCACAGGATGGGTATGGGGTGCATAATAAAGATATTAAACTAAAGTGTGTGTGTGTGTGTGTGTGTGTGTGTGTGTGTGTGTGTGTGTGTGTGTCAACAATCAATATTTGCACCAATAACTCATTACAGTTGTAGCCATGTATAAACGTAAGTAACCATTCTACAGAATTCATTACCTTTGTAACTTGTGAGCTCATTACCTTTGTACCTAGTTCAGCTATCAAAACTTTGGGGGCCAGTCCCTGGACCATTACGTACCTCTGTAATCTGTAAATACCTTTGTAACTTGTCATGATTGTGACCAGACCTACCTGGAGTTCATTACCTTTGTAAATTGTGAGTTCATTACCTTTGTAAATTGTGAGTTCATTACCTTTGTAAATTGTGAGTTCATTACCTTTGTAAATTGTGAGTTCATTACCTTTGTAAATTGTGAGTTCATTACCTTTGTAAATTGTGAGTTCATTACCTTTGTAAATTGTGAGTTATTACCTTTGTAAATTGTGAGTTCATTACCTTTGTAAATTGTGAGTTCATTACCTTTGTAAATTGTGAGTTCATTACCTTTGTAAATTGTGAGTTCATTACCTTTGTAAATTGTGAGTTCATTACCTTTGTAAATTGTGAGTTCATTACCTTTGTAAATTGTGAGTTCATTACCTTTGTAAATTGTGAGTTCATTACCTTTGTAAATTGTGAGTTCATTACCTTTGTAAATTGTGAGTTCATTACCTTTGTAAATTGTGAGTTCATTACCTTTGTAAATTGTGAGTTCATTACCTTTGTAAATTGTGAGTTCATTACCTTTGTAAATTGTGAGTTCATTACCTTTGTAAATTGTGAGTTCATTACTTTGTAAATTGTGAGTTCATTACCTTTGTAATTGTGAGTTCATTACCTTTGTAAATTGTGAGTTCATTACCTTTGTAAATTTGTGAGTTCATTACCTTTGTAAATTGTGAGTTCATTACCTTTGTAAATTGTGAAGTTCATTACCTTTGTAAATTGTGAGTTCATTACCTTTGTAAATTGTGAGTTCATTACCTTTGTAAATTGTGAGTTCATTACCTTTGTAAATTGTGAGTTCATTACCTTTGTAAATTGTGAGTTCATTACCTTTGTAAATTGTGAGTTCATTACCTTTGTAAATTGTGAGTTCATTACCTTTGTAAATTGTGAGTCATTACCTTTGTAAATTGTGAGTTCATTACCTTTGTAAATTGTGAGTTCATTACCTTTGTAAATTGTGAGTTCATTACCTTTGTAAATTGTGAGTTCATTCCTTTGTAAATTGTGAGTTCATTACCTTTGTAAATTGTGAGTTCATTACCTTTGTAATTGTGAGTTCATTACCTTTGTAAATTGTTGAGTTCATTACCTTTGTAAATTGTGAGTTCATTACCTTTGTAAATTGTGAGTTCATTACCTTTGTAAATTGTGAGTTCATTACCTTTGTAAATTGTGAGTTCATTACCTTTGTAAATTGTGAGTTCATTACCTTTGTAAATTGTGAGTTCATTACCTTTGTAAATTGTGAGTTCATTACCTTTGTAAATTGTGAGTCATTACCTTTGTAAATGTGTGAGTTCATTACTTTGTAAATTGTGAGTTCATTACCTTTGTAAATTGTGAGTTCATTACCTTTGTAAATTGTGAGTTCATTACCTTTGTAAATTGTGAGTTCATTACCTTTGTAAATTGTGAGTTCATTACCTTTGTAAATTGTGAGTTCATTACCTTTGTAAATTTGAGTTCATTACCTTTGTAAATTGTGAGTTCATTACCTTTGTAAATTGTGAGTTCATTACCTTTGTAAATTGTGAGTTCATTACCTTTGTAAATGTGAGTTCATTACCTTTGTAAATTGTGAGTTCATTACTTTGTAAATTGGGAGTTATTACCTTGTAATTGTGAGTTCATTACCTTGTAAATTGTGAGTTCATTACCTTTGTAAATTGTGAGTTCATTACCTTTGTAAATTGTGAGTTCATTACCTTTGTAAATTGTGAGTTCATTACCTTTGTAAATTGTGAGTTCATTACCTTTGTAAATTGTGAGTTCATTACCTTTGTAAATTGTGAGTTCATTACCTTTGTAAATTGTGAGTTCATTACTTTGTAAATTGTGAGTTCATTACCTTTGTAAATTGTGAGTTCATTACCTTTGTAAATTGTGAGTTCATTACCTTTGTAAATTGTGAGTTCATTACCTTTGTAAATTGTGAGTTCATTACCTCTGTAACTTGCTCAGTTATCAAAACTTTGGAGTCCAGTCCCTGGACCAATTATGTACCTCTGTAATCTTTTGACTACCGCCCACAGGATGGGTATGGGGTGCATAATAAACATATTAAACTAACTTCACACAAAGTAATCGTGGCAGAGGAAACCAGACAACTTCCTAAAATGCCAGATCAACCGGGTTGTGATAGCTATACAAGCCTGCGAGCTTGTGGTAGCAACAGCCTGGTTGATCGGGCAGTTTACAAATCACTTAGATGTGGTTGCAAGGTCGGAATAATTAACCTACGAAACCGGCCACAGGTATGTGGTAAGGTTTAGCGTGTATTCCTTCTGGTAGTCAACAGGTGGACAGCAAGCAAATACTTAAGGTTATTAAACCATACCACGGGCGGGATTTGAACCCGCGGTCAGTGTGTCTCAAAACTCCAGACCGTCGCGTTAGCCACTTTACCAGCTAGCCACAATAAGATTCTTCCAACTAGGTATATTTCTACACCATAGGAAGGTTAGCATAGGCACCACTGTGACCACAAATGCAATAGTTTCATTACGATTTCGTGAGTCACTTAAGGTAATTTGTTCCAGTACTTCAGACTTGCTCACTTTGCTGTGTGTTTTCTTCAATCTTTCAAAATGCCTCGTCTCTTATCATTCCTTCCCTGTTATCTGGAAGATCTTGCTCCAGAAGTTTATTATCCAGACATTTTACACGAGGAAACTGGTTCCTTGTTGACTCTTCAGGTCTGGAGTGTGATACTTAAGATTTTCACCATCCCTATTTCCTCAGTTGTTCTCTCTTCTTTCCTTCTCCAGTTTTGCCAGTGACCATTAAGACGTGGTTGCATAATATTATTTTAGTGGTTTTTTAATTACAGGATATACTAACGCTGTTATAATGGTGGCTGTATTAACAAGTGTTTGTGGTAAAACGTGTAACTAAGTCTTTCCTATATTTCAAAGCTAAGTTTTCAGTAAATCATATTGTAACGATGCTTTTTTTTATGGTATGGTATCTAACAGTAAGGAGCGATGACCCTCAGAAACACCAGATAAGTAGGTAGATAGTCGCCAATGTTAGCCACGAGGAGTAGATGTGGGAGTGTTAATTTTTTTTTTATATCTCGTCTGGCAGAGTATGTGTATCTGGAGCTGAAGCTGTAATTAAGTTGTCAGCTGGTAGCCTTGATGTGGTGGGAAAGTTTTCTTTCTCGTGCACTCCCCAAGGCAGTATCCCTGGAGAGGCTCATCTCGTGGTATTGAGAGCTGCAAGCAGCTTCATAACCTTGCCTAAATCTTCAGTTGCTCCACACAAGGCCGTGCTTGCATCAGTACAGACTGGTATTAAACATTCCTGTGTCCTACTTCCTATGTGCCAGGTAATTAAAAGCTACAGTAGACAGCGGTTTGTGAGGCTAGAACTCAAAATCGGCTACAGATATGTCACATTGGTTGAGAATTTTTCAACGAAGGCCGAACAGCGAGAGTGCGATAGAACTTTAAACAGGTCACTGGCATGTCTACCTGTAGTCGATCCCGGGTTACCGCACCTATTCCTCCGCGACTCTCCCTGATTAGGTCTCTTGGCTGATCACTAAATCAAAGCTGGCATTTTCTTATCAGCCCAGTTAACAAGAAAATGTAGGAAATTTATCAACTCCCTCTAGAAGACCGCTAAAATAATTTCACCTGTGTGAAGGGTGTTTTGCAGTGTTTTTTTTTTTTCCCTCTACCTCCCATCTGAACTGGAACACGCACAGACAACTTGTACTGTCAGTATACATTCCTTGAAACAAATACTGGGGGCGCTAGATATTACTTGAACCCTACTTCTTGGAACCTAGGCGAGAAAGGCACATCATAATTTACACACTGAAAATCGTGGAGGGACTGGTTCGAAATCTGCACCGAATTGCACTCCACACGAAAGGAAGAAATTTGGCAGAGTACCTCCAATGAAAAGCAGGGGCGCAACGAGTACACTAAGATAACTCTGTAAGCGTCGGAGGTCCCCTTTTATCATCATCAGATCTCTGGCTGTCTTGAAAACAGAACTTAACAGGTTCCTCAAATCAATTCCTGGCTGACTGACGGCTGTGATAAGTACGTTGGACAACATACGGCCAAAAGTAACCGCAACCGCCTAGTTGATCAGGCCTTCCGACCAAACTGTTATATTGAGGCAGTGTGACAAGTGATGGTTTATATTTGCGGTGCATGAACAACTGAAGCACGAGTCATTGACACGCACACGCGCGCAATTTATTTATTAGTACATTTTGCTTAGAATTTACAAATTTACAGTTACTAAATAAATAACTAAATAAATAAATAAATATATATATTATATATATTATATATAAATTTTATTTCAATTGTATATTATAATAAGGGTTTTATTTGTGGTGATGAATATTAAAAATGGGTTTTATGTGCGTGCAGGAGGAGGCCGGTGGTGAGGATGGAGAGCGTGTTGGAGGACCGGGCCAGGATCGGGGTGCCGGATGCCATCCTCCTGGAGGACTACCTCAATGAGAGTGTCTTCATCGACAACCTCAAGAAAAGATACCAGCAGAACATCATCTATGTGAGTATTTTTTTGTGTGGCACACACTAATTACACATCTATACAACGTATGTAAGTAAGTTTAGGGTGGAGGCTTACACCTGCACATCCTACCTCTTAACTCGGGAACACACTTTATGCAATTTCATCTTTGTGTGTGTGTGTGTGTGTGTGTGTGTGTGTGTGTGTGTGTGTGTGTGTGTGTGTTGTGTGTGTGTAAATCATCACGAAAATAGTTATTAATCATGCATTTCGTCTCTCCAAACGTGTGAATGATTCGAAACCGTACTCCTCATAACCCAGTCAAATCGAAATATCGTGGAATTAAAGTACGTGAGGTTATCGCAATAAATTCCCAACAGCTATTCAACAAGTGTAATGCAAATGTAATCCAGGCAGGTTGATAGAAGGGTGACCAACGGGTCAGTGGCATGACACATGAATTAGCACCTAAATTACCTTCACTCTTTAAGATTTCACTAAGGAAAGGAAACAAGACAGCACTTGCAACTCTTCTTGAATCATGCAGACTATAGCAAGGCAGTCTCAGAAAACTGCCGATATGCTGTAGATGGCGCCCACCTTGTAACCATGTACCAAGATGTCCTAAATGGCTACACAAATTGTCATAAAAGCATTATAGCAGCAGAGCGTTAATAGTCTTTGATAGTTATCTAGACACATTATTAAAACCAACAAAATCGTCGAGCCACAACAGTGCCACAAGCAGAATTTCTAGTTAATAAGATTTAACAAACCACGAGTTAATATAGTGAGGATGCACTTCAGTATGCTGGAGTAATGATTGACGAGGTCAATGATGAAGCTGATGCATTAATTTTTAAAACCTTCTGTAAGTTAAGTGGTGTTGAACAGATTATTGCAGGTGTGGGAGATGACACGGATTCACATGGACCTTTCCCCCCATCCCTTCTAGCCATTCACCAAAATAATCTCGATGAAATAAATGGTTTGAAAACCGACAAGTTAATGATTGAGACATGCAACATATGGGAATCTTTATTAAGGAAACATTTCTCCACACGGTGGCTTCTTCAGTCTAATACGAAGTTTGTGTGGTGTGGTGTGTGTGTGTGTGTGTGTGTGTGGTGTGTGTGTGTGTTGTGTGTGTGTGTGTGTGTGTGTGTGTGTGTGTGTGTGTGTGTGTGTGTGTGGTGTGTGTTTGTCCATCACTCTTGTGATGAACTGAACACATCGATTCCAGGCTGAGGGGTTGATTACCTCAAACTCCTTCTCCTAACCCCCTCTTTGTATTGGACTGAAAAAGCCACTGTGTGACTAAATATTTCCTTAATAAAGATTCCCATATGTTGCATAAGTGTCTCGCTCTTCAATCTCAGTGAAGCCTGATAAAGTTCAGTGCAACAAGATTCATATTTAAAAACCTGCATGTAAATTTCAGACGCCTGTGTCATCATTTTTTTCCTCAGTCACCGGTTATGATACAAATCAGCTCTATAACACAGGCAAGCAGGGAGCACTTCAAATCCTGAAGCATAGCCAGGACATGACAAAAAATTTTCAGTAATTCATAAGCTCCAGTGAAGATTTCACCTTAGCGCTTTAGAAGCTTAGAAGCTCCCACAACCGATTCCTTGACAAATATAGTTTTTACAAATGAAATGTATCTAGGATGTCTATAGGTCAAAAGTTTGACATATCTACAGTGCCACTGACATATGAAGCAGCTCGTTAGCTCTGAGCTTTTCCTTAAATGCAAAATTAGCTTGGTAATTTTGTCCCCAGTCTTAAAGGATGCCGTCATCACTGCGAAAGTTGACGAGCTGGACTATATTGTTCATCCATGTCATCAGTGTCGTGGTATTACTGTAAACATTCATGTGTCGATTAAGAAGTTCTGAAGGATTCTGTATTAAAGTCCCTGAATGTTGTTACGAGGTTCTGCTTGTGCATTTTTTCCCCTTCCCACCTGGTGGTATAAACAGCATCATCCATGGATAGATAATGACACACAGGTGGGAGGCAGGAGCGCGTGACATGGAGGTAATGTGTTGCCACACCGGGTGTTGGCGCAGGAAGTAGGACGAGAGTTTTGTGGCTTATGCTAATGTTGACACCAGCTGAAGCGAGTGAGACATGCTGGCCCCTGCTCTCTACCTCGTACTGCCAGCTGCTGGTACCAACAGCTTTGCAGATCAGGCAGTTAACCGGAAATCTATTCATATCACTTGATAGTCTAAAAAGGAACGAAGGTGTATGGGGGAGAGATGATAGTGGTATCAGTAGCTCTGTGAAGTAGCTAGGTTGTAGACAGCACCCATTAATGGAAGTAACTACTCTGCTGTAAAGGGATAAAGATTTTTCAGCACCCACTGTTTATGTACATAAAAGTAATTACATATATATCCCAAACTGTCTTCAAGGTGGAAGTTCTTAAGTCAGTTCTGAAGTCAATTCCGGGCTGTTGATGCCTATGTTAGACTGCGTACGGCCAGCACCAATAGCAGGTCGTCAACCAGGATGCCTAGTTTGGGACTGGGCCGAGAGGTTAGTGGCCCTAGGAATTGTCTACAGGTAACCAGATAGCACGGAGCTGTACTGAAATTTGGTTCATGCATTTTTTCCACGTAAGATAACACGTGTGGAGGACTGGCTACACCTGTGCAACACCTGATCACGAATACTTTAATCCTTAAGATAGGGACTGAAGTAAATTGTATATTTACATTATCTCTGTATATACAACATACCAATGCAATTATTTATACGTACAAATAAGGTACTCTGCGATTAATTTATCAACTCTTATCCAATTAATTACACCTTTTGAGTTTGAGACTTTGAATCCGACGACGCTTTTTGTTTACTTGGTCACTGTTTCCTCGAGAGAAAACAACATTATCGGGTATTTTGGTTAACTTTGCTTAATTGAAATGACGCTCATATAGTAATGTAATCTGCGCAGGGGGTAGAACAACTGAAATAAAACTAAATAGTTCATAAACACGCATATTTCATTAAGGGGAGAAGATGTCTTACAAAATGTGTTTTCCCGACTGACTTAATCTCGTGTCAGTGGAGGATGTGCACTGTAATTATTAGTCTTCAGAGCCCCCAATACTAGGTGTTTGTGCTTTGCATCTATCATAGGAATAGCAGTTTAGGTTACTTTGTTTTGCTTTTGTTTTTTTGTGCTGTCCTGAGCATTGTACGATCATTTCATTTTTAACTGTTTCCCGTTTTTAAAACTAGTATTTTTGTACTTGAGAAAGTTTGAACTTATGAGATTTGGTCTTCCCTTTTACTGTATAAATTATGTAGAGATTTATTCCCTTTCTAAATTTGGTTTTCATCTTACTGCTACGAGTCCGGGGAATATTTCTATCGACTTTGTTCCCATTTTCGCAGAGCTTTGGTTTATAAGCTTTATATTTGTTGCTTATCATCTAACTAGAATTTGACTTTATCATCTATTTGTTTATAGATAATGTTGTTAAACCTGTATTTAGGTTGAAATTCAATAAGTTAAGAACGCGCCCTCCTGAAGATTTACTTAGCTGTTAGTCTAGTCTATGAAGGACTGAACTTGTATCAGGTTGTGAGTAGACTTGAATGTGTACGAGGACTTCATACTCAGTACCAGATCATCGTTATTTGTGAAAAAGTTGTATGGTAAAGTTCATAAATACTGATTTATGAAAGTGAGAAACCCCTTGGACAAAAAAAAGTGAATGTCTGTTTATTTCAGCCTCAGAGACTGAGGCTTAAATATACAATTCGATTTTGTCCACGTAGTTACTCATTTTCATAAGAGATCAGGGGTATCGTCAAATATTGTCGGTTTGGTTGATAAAAAGTTCGTCCCGTGGCCTGTCTCCAGGGATATTTTCATGTTTACTACGTTATTTCTTTTTTAATGTTTAGTAATTTCGTTTAAGGCAAGGTGGTGGTTGGAACAGAGTAAGAAATTTTCGAGGAAGTTTTACTTCTACTATCTTGTTTATAAAAGGCTACGAATTTGAATCTGGTGGTTTGTATAAAGGTACTGTGACTAAATACTAGCATTCATTTTTCATTGCCAGTTTGTGATGGCAGCTCAGTGTAAAATGGAGTCTTTAACATAAACTGACCCCCACGTTCTGGTCTACTCATTCAGCTACTGCTAATGAGATTGTATCCCAATATTTATTATATACTTCGTTATCGTTGTAGCTTTTAATACAGATCTCTGAAGGCTCCAAACACTTAATTTCACTCCACTTGTTAAAGGGATTTTTCTGATAATGATTGGTTTAAGATCCTGAATGTTTACATACATTTATAGTATGTCAAGTTATTGTACATGATATTTGCTGGCGTTAATGTATGTAACATGACAGCCACTGTGCTTTCTCCAACGTGGCTCATAAGAGGAGGTACAATCTTTGTATAGCTTATTCTTAGTCCTCTCACTATTGACAGTCAGGAGGGAGTGGGTGGGATTGAGGGACGAATCGTGTTTAAAGCTTATCAGTTATACCTGGGTCATTAAAGGTCGTATTTCACCTGTACATAGCCTCAAGAATACTGATTCCAAAAGTAGACGCAGTGGTAATACAGTGAGAGGTACACATTTAAGCGTATATACCCTGTGTGGAGGGATGTTCACTTTCTTTTTAAAGAAAACAGATTCATCAACATAGTGCTGCTACCCAATTCTGCTCGCTACATTGCTGAAACAAAGCTAGCTACGTTTCCCTTTGTAATGGCAGCACACAGGATAGGTTTCATGACCTAATTATGAGGGATATTACAGTACAGGTGACTAAGAAGTCAGCCACTATTTAGCCTCCAGCGTCACATCCGGTGGGAACACAGGACAAACTTACCTACAAAGACTGCAGAGTTTCCCGACGTCACAATCCGTGAAAAACATTTATCACTGAAATTTATAAAACGCGCAGTCAAAATATAGATTAGTTTTTATTTTACCTTACAGTAAATACACAAGTTATTGTTATATACGTACATTTATATACAAAAGAAAAAAACTTATTTTT